TCTAAACCCAGTATTGTGGTTCCCTTGTCCCAATCTAAACCCAGTATTGTGGTTCCCTTGTCCCAATCTAAACCCAGTATTGTGGTTCCCTTGTCCCAATCTAAACCCAGTATTGTGGTTCCCTTGTCCCAATCTAAACCCAGTATTGTGGTTCCCTTGTCCCAATCTAAACCCAGTATTGTGGTTCCCTTGTCCCAATCTAAACCCAGTATTGTGGTTCCCTTGTCCCAATCTAAACCCAGTATTGTGGTTCCCTTGTCCCAATCTAAACCCAGTATTGTGGTTCCCTTGTCCCAATCTAAACCCAGTATTGTGGTTCCCTTGTCCCAATCTAAACCCAGTATTGTGGTTCCCTTGTCCCAATCTAAACCCAGTATTGTGGTTCCCTTGTCCCAATCTAAACCCAGTATTGTGGTTCCCTTGTCCCAATCTAAACCCAGTATTGTGGTTCCCTTGTCCCAATCTAAACCCAGTATTGTGGTTCCCTTGTCCCAATCTAAACCCAGTATTGTGGTTCCCTTGTCCCAATCTAAACCCAGTATTGTGGTTCCCTTGTCCCAATCTAAACCCAGTATTGTGGTTCCCTTGTCCCAATCTAAACCCAGTATTGTGGTTCCCTTGTCCCAATCTAAACCCAGTATTGTGGTTCCCTTGTCCCAATCTAAACACAGCATTGTGGTTCCCTTGTCCCAATCTAAACCCAGTATTGTGGTTCCTTTCATCATTGTAGTTTATTAAATAAAGAACTTACATGTATTTACGTCAAATATATAACAACTGTATGATAAAATCACATTGCTCCAGCAGCAAAATAGCACAAATATTTTGGCCAAGGTTTCAAATGTTCTATTTGATAACTTTAACTGTAACTTAACAATATAATGAATATGCATTATTGAGCAGCAGAACCGTTAACATTCAGTGCTTGGCTATTACAACAATATGTACATGCCTGATAAGTGGTCAAACATGAATAGAATGTTCTATTTCTTTGTGAACTATTACTTCAACTTTTCCAGATTTGTCTGATCCAATAGTGCAATATCCAGACTTAATATGTTTCTTCCCCAAACAGGCAACAAGCTCACTTGGTTTGAAATGTGTTAGGTTTTTTGCTGGTACCTTCAACTTATTTTTGAGGGATTTCACCAAATCATCTCTTCCCAAGACTTTTCCATAGACCATTTTCACCATTTTTTGATATGTTTGCAACTCTGCATGCACAATATCAGCACTTTCATCCTCTTGAGACTTTGGTGAACTGCTGAAATTACTGACATCACTATCATTGGTACATTTTGACTGCGGTAGACCTCCATGAGTGGAATGGAGTGTCGCCTGTGATGGTGGTGGACTGTAATGGCGTGTCGCTTGTGATGGTGGTGGACTGTAATGACGTGTCCCCTGTGATGGTGGTGGACTGTAATAGCACGTCACCTGTGATGGTGGTGGACTGTCAAAGAGTAATTGTGAATTATCCTCGCTGGATAATATCTCTGTATCTCCACTGGCACTATCACTTACATTAGCCATTTCATCTGCTGTGGCATCCTACATTTAAACAATCATTGAAGTGATTAATATATTAATAACAATATTATTTTAATAATATAATTATGAAATCTGATTGGCTAGACAGCTACAATTTGTTTTTACAATCACTGCAATCTACAGATTAGTAAATAATCTGCTAGAGAATTACTTTTGTAAGTTTATTGAGCATTGAGTGATTTGATTTTTTAAATTTAAAATCCCCTCTAAAATTACTTTAAACGTATTCGATTCTCTTAAAAAATAAAGAATTCTTGTTTTTAAACATCRGTTTTTGTGATATTATCCAAAATCATCAAAAAGAGTTATCAGCTTCAGGCCTTCACTGATCACATTTATTTCGTAGACCACAAAGCCTTCTATAAATTAATGGTTAGCCTTAAAAAACTTCCCTGTGAACCATTGTMACTCAAGTTATCTTACCTCAGAACTCGAATCATTGTTTCCAATAATTCTTGGTTATGGTTTTGGTTCAGTACTGAGTGGCTAGAAAAAAATGATTTTATAGGTTTACTCCATTTTAAACAAAATATTACAGCATGATTTCCGTATTGCTGAAATCAAAATAGATAAATTGCCATACATGCCAGTGGGTCTTTAAGTTTTTCCTTAATATTAGCCATAGAATTTACAAAACATACCTCTTCAAGACTGCGTTTTTTCATGTTATGGTATCTTCTCTGTTCATTACAAAAGTTTTTGATATGTTGTGCAATTCCTTCTTTGCCAAAGTCAATCTCTGGAATTCCACATTCTGGCACTAGTTTATTGGCAAATTTTTCGAGTTGTGCCTTAGACTCTGGAGTATTAAACTTTGGAAGKTTTTTTTCCCCATTTCTCTGTCACTTGTACACCAATTTTTTTACGTCTTCAAATACAGAGAAAAAAGAATMAAGATACATGATAAAGAAACACAAAACAAACACTTGCAATGCGAGACTATTATAGCAACAAAATAAACTTGAATTTCACATACATGTAAAAGTACAMTTTTCAAACATTTATAAAGCAAGGGTAATACTAGACAACTGTAAAGATAAAGGTTTCTTCTCTTTTAGTTGTTTTAAAAATTTTGGCGCGAACTAGCCTGCACGATGGTGCCTGCACAATCGAATTATATACAAAATGGTCTGTTGTAAACAAACATTAACGGACATAGTWTGTCTATCCTTTCTTCATAAATGAGAAATTATCGAAACTCAAGTTAAAATGGACAATTCGACATTAGTCAACTCAGCATTTGAATCTAACATTTTGGCATTTGTCAGCGATCCGTGGGAAAGAAACTCRAGATGRCCGCCGGGGATGATTTCTGAAACTTTGAACGGGAACTCGATCCCAGCATAAAAATATTAGTTTTCGAGTTTATAAACTAGGATAAATGACAAAATAATACCGTATTTCAGTAAAACTTACTTGGAATAGTACAGCTGTTTAGTTTCATAACTGAAACTTGTAAGATCTGCCATTGTAGGTTTAGCTGGCRGAGAAGAATGAGAAGCTCGGGCAGGTCGCCTTCTTAAGTGAGARAATTCTTTCTGAAGCCTGACAGCTTTGCCATAATTCAGTCCAAGCCGGACAAATATTGTGGYATCGGCATCTTTTAAAACRAGGTCTGCTAAWACAGCTTCGGTATTTATTTCTTCCCCTTTTGAAAAGAAAGAAAAGAGGATTTAAGTAAGAGTTTAATACATACCGAGAACACATGTACAGACCCCAATGTTTGAAGGAAAACTTACTTTCAAAAGCGCTGCAAACTTCCTGGCCAAACATAGCCTTAATTCTACTGAGAACGTCATTTTCAGATTCCATGTTCGGTGCTTGCTCAAGAGTTTSGGTCTTCTCATCATGATCCGACATACTTATAATTATTATAAAACTCTGATCACCGTGACGCCCCGCAAACAAGAAAGACTGGAGAGAAGGAGTAGAAGAACTTATACATAGCCAACGTTGGTTGCTGATTGGTTTWCATTTCCATACTTCGTTGTGATTGGTCTATTTTCGCGGTTTTCATTATCTTTCAATTTTAATTGGTTCATTTTCCCGCGGGTTTATTTCAGGTCATTTTGATTGGTCTATTTTCGCGCGGTTTCTTCTTCACTTAGTGGTCAGCGGTAACCCTACAAAAGAGCGGCCTTTTTARAAAAGTAATGAAAAGTAATTGTTACGAAGGCTTTTCTTTCGAAATATATCAATGGATAGGACTGAAATATGCTCTTGTAACTGCCCTGAAAAGCCATACAGACATTGTAAATGCTATAAATGTCAAGGGCGAGCAACATCAAGAACTACAGAACTACGACACTGGAAAGAAGCGAAGTTATCGACAGAAAATCTGTCTCCAGCTAGTACCTAYATGTACACAACTAATGATCTTGTATGCACTGGTTCAGAGGACATTGCTGAAGTACTTTATGCCTCAACAGATGTACCAATGGAAAGTGAAGATGAAGACCTAGACTTGGAGAACAACGTTGTAAATGAGCAAAGTCAACAAGACAGTAGTGAATTCCTCGAAGAGTCAAATCCAATGAGGAAACTGATAATTGAATCTATTTTAAAAGCAATGGCTATCATGGAAGACAGTGGGACATCAATAAAGACATTTGAGGATATRCTCAGCTATGGTAAGACAATGCTTTTTACCTCTCTCAGGGATGATATGGATCCTGATATTCTAAGTGTACTGTGGCCTAAAAACTGGGCTCAGGCCCAGGCAATGTTGAAAGAAGAAGGATTTTCTTGTCCCAAGGAATATTATTTTTGTCTATGCAGAGAGGAAAAACAAACTACACGACTAGGGAAGACAAAAACAAAATATCATTACTCAGGYGAGTGGAGTGTAATGGAAAGCAAAGATGAAAAATGCCCAAAATGTGGAAATTACGGTTACATAASTTATTACTATCTGGGTATACACAACAAACTGAAACATTGGTTTCGAAGTTCAGATAAGTGTGAAAAAAGGTTTGCTCATTGGACAGAAAAGGATCACTGGTTAAAGAGAGACTCAAGCTGGCCCAATAAAAAGGAAATTTGGGATGGAGAAAGATRGAGATCACTCCAATGGTTTTGGGATCCAGATGTTACTTGGCTTCTTCCAACAAAATGCTCTGTGTGCCAGGCAGTCATCCCATCAGAAATGATTACTGATGCACCCAAGGACATGAATGACAACAGTTTTTGTTTACTTGAATGCCCAGAATGTTTCCATAATTTTTCACACAAAGSTCAATATACAAGAGGTTCCCCACTAAATTTAGCCTTTATAGGACACTGGGATGCTTGGCAGCCTTTCAAAAGCACAGTCAGAAGTTGTGGGTCATTTGAAATATCAATTGCAAACATGTWTAAGAATGAAAGAGCACACATAGATGAAGTTTATGTTATAGGTTTTGTTCCTTGTTCCTCTCTTCCCAATGGTGTTCCACAAGTATATGATCCATTTCTACTTCCACTCATGAATGAACTTGTTGATGGCTTTGTAAGTGGGTTTGAGGTAACTATGTCTGTAAACATAGCAAAAGAAACAGTAAGAGTGTTAATGCTGTGTTGGACTGGTGACCACCCAGGACAGTGCGATATTGKGAAGTGTATTAATCAAGGGAAATGTGTATGCAGACGGTGTAAACTTGTTGGCCAACAAAGTTCTGAATCTACTCATTATTATTATGGAAATAATYRATATCTTTTACGCKATCCATGGGATAAAAGAGACATCAAAGARGAGAAGAAGGTATTTTTTGATCTKGATAAAGAAACTAGAACGAGTGTGAGGAAAAATCAGTCTTCTCAAACAGGGTTCACCGGGACATCAATTCTCCATAGATATTTGTATCCTTAATATAGTTTTGACATTTTGCATCACATGGTCTATGACATTTTTCACACCGTGCCTCTGAATCTTTGCAAAAATCAAGTTCAAAGAATGTGGCAGTTAGAGTTGATTGATGCAAGTTATCTTGATGAACAAATCAAAAGATTTCCCTGGACTTCAGAACTTCGCAATGGACGCATTCCTACAGCAGTTGGAAAGGACGGTAAAGGTCTGGGACATTGGAAAGCTGAGTCCTATCAGAAGTTCGGATTTCCATTGGTAGAGTGCATAAGTGACAAAATGCTTAAAGATCCTTGTGATATTGAGATTATGAGTTTGGTGTCTCGTTTTACTGAACTTCACTTCTACAGTGGGAGAGATGGATGGGCAGAAGGTATGATTGAATTGCATCAGAAGCTAGCCATGAGATTGAATGTAAAGATTGAAGAAAGTCAAGGTCTTCAGATGTGTACGATTTCTGTACATAATATGTTACATATTCATGAAGACATTAGGAACTTTGCATCATCTGACAATTATTGGTGCGCTGTTTTTGAGCGTGCAGTCAAAGAATACACTAAACATTGCACTAATTGTAAAGAAGTGGAGAGTACGTTTGCTAAAGCAGAATGCAGAAGAGAATATCTGAAGAGTGTTAAGGGTCAGCAAGTGAAGAATAACAATGTTATATCTGTTAATAAGGTAAAACATCAAATAAATGTGCTGGTCTGTTTTTACTATCTTCCTGGCTTATCATTGGAAGTGTATTGTTTTGTGTTCAAAAGTTGATCACCAATAATTAGTTTCTTGAAGAGTCTGAAGAATGGTTTTCATTTACCTATGAAACAAAGTGCAATGGCCAAACAGTAATAGAGTATGCAATAATCAATCAAGAATGTTAAACTTTTATTTTTTTTATTTTGCAACATTTGTGCATTTTGCTCTGTGTAATTTACACTCTAAAAATCAAATTATATGCTCAATTATAAAACTATAAGATACTATTTTTATTATCTGGGGAAAGGTAAAGTCTCTTGAGAAGGCTAGAGAATTCTGCCAAGCAGAGGGGTATGATTCTTTATTGATTGGTGCAACCAGAAATGCAAGAGTAATAGAACTGACAAATGTAGAGCATATAAAGATTGCTTCCATTCTGTCACTTCCTGTCACT